CCGCCCGGCTGCGGGAACTTGCCGCGCGTCCGCCGCCCGCTCCTTCTCGGTAGGATTCTCCCGTGGCCACCTCCTGAGCAGTCGTTTTGCGGCTTAGATTCGTGAAAAGGTATTTGCTTTCTTTCTAGGCTCTGCTTCCGGGGGGAAGGGGGAAAGGAGTCCGGGCAGGGCTTTGAAAGTTGGGTGGAAGGACCGATGGGCCTCTCTCCTCTGGGAGTGGACACCTAGGCTGGCTGGGGAGAATGCCCCATAGTTTTGTTTCTGGAGTACTTCCTTCTACGGATGAATCCGGTGATGATAAGGGGAAGCAGTCTACCCGGGGGCTTTAGCCATTTTGCGACGGTAAGGGCAGAGGAGCACCAAGAAGGACCGCTGTCCCCCCGCTTTCGATCTGTTACCACTTCTCATACTGAAATGTGCTACTTTAATGTATGATGTGTCAGGCGTTCCTAATTGGGCGAGAGCTCTGCATGGAAGGACGGACCCTTCCGTATTTATCATGGGCACCGTTTTTCCTGTAGTTGTTCAGAACTTGCCAGTATGGTGAGATTGCATTAAACACGAAAGAACTCCAGCTTACAGGCTATTTAAGCAAACAAATGACTGTCTTTTAAAGCAAGATTGTTTCCACGGCTTCCAAATCACTGCCTTGAACAGAAAAGAGACTAGAAAACATCAAGTCTTTGTTGTAGGACCAACTAGATTAGTATTACTGATGAGATCATACAAACTCCTCCAACAAGGACATTTATAAAATTATATCGAATTAGATCTGAGGGTGGAAAGAATAACTTTTGTGCTATGAATTTAAATCGGGAAGTGAAAACTAAAAAGGAAAAAAGATACATGGGGCGAACTTGCAGTAACCTCGTTCCATTTGTGAAACTTTGCGTCTCTACCTTTTTAAGCAATGTAAATATGAAAGCCCATAGTCATTAAAATTCAGTAGGACCTTTGGAAAAGTAAGAAGGAACTTCTCCTAACCCTGGAACCGCCATTTTGAAGCAAACTCTCAGAGTGTCAAAGTTGCAAGGTAGAGATCCTTGCAGGAGAAATGCCATCTAGCAGGAAAATAAAAAGCCAGACTTGCCAACCGCCGGCCTATCTTCCCGGCCGTTTGGGATCCCTTGGCTCAGGGGAGTGAGAGACAGTCAGCTGCAGAAAGTAAAGAACTTCTTTTCCTCCTTTTCTTTTCTCTCCCTGAGCTCTTTCTTGTAGGAAACTTGAAAGGGGGGGGGGGGAGGAAATCACACTCGTTTCACAACTTTGGGTGTTTGTGTAACTACTTTCTTCAAAACTAAAATGTTCAAAAGGCAGCTAGAGTGAACAGGGAACTGCTGGAGCTGCTGAAGACCCAAACGTCCAAAAATTTGCCTCCCGCAGGACCCACAGCCTCCACGCACCAAAATCAACATGGAAGCGGCTTGCTCTGCAAACCCGCACCCTTTCTCCTTGCAGCTGTGGGCCTCTCATTCTCTGATTGGTGGGATTCTAACTTTACTTCAGGATTTCTAGCAAACCCTGTGCCCGCCTTGAAGAATTTTTTTTTTTGCACTATGATTACATATTTGAGGGGTGTCTATTTAAAAGTTAGATTTTTGCTTATTTAGCTTTGGTTCTTTATACACATATAATCAAGGTCCTCCAGAACCCTAATAAATCTGTTACTTGCCTCAAAATCTAATTACCCAGACTACTAATTAGGTGAAAATGATGACTGGAAATGACTCTAAATGTGGAATAATAGTGGTTAAGCAGTTTTCTCAAGTTTGTCGATCAGCAAGTTTGTCGACATTTTAGATGTGAAATGCGCCGATATTTTAGGTTAGAAGCTGTTGCGAGTGGTGAAAAAGCTAAGATAATTAAAATCAGCCCTGGAAAGGCAACAGTCTAGGGAGGTAGATTTCTTGAATTGTTTCTTTGTTTCTCACCAATGGGCTTTGTTATCAGCATTATTTATTTAGCCAAAGAGTTCTTTGTCTCTGCAAATGGCCCCAATCAAGTTTTGTTTGAGACAATTAGCTAGTGCCAGCCAATGAGTCCTATGCAAATGTAGGGATAGGAATGCGATGTGTGCATTTGAAGGCGTGGGGTTTTGTTCTTGGGGCAGGCTGATTGTAATTGCTTTCTTCGGGTATTTTTTTTTTTTTAAGTTTAGGGTGGGGGTGGGGAAGACAGGTTTATCAGGTCTCCATCCCCTCTAGTTTCACAGAAGCTGGGGGGTTGGGTAGGTGGGGAGGAGGGTCTGCCCGCTCTTTAAAAGCCTCTGCCCTGAGTAGCCCGGGCTCTTTTTAAGTTAGGGGCGGAACGTGGAAGAGCTGCTGCCTCCGAAGCAGTAAACCAGCACCTCTGTTTGTTTGTTTGCTTTGCCCTTAGTTCCACCACTCCAAACCCACCCACCAAGGACCCTGAATCTGTCCGCCCCCGGCGAAGCAGGACCTTCCGGCTGGGTCCCCCCGATTTGGGCTGACTTTGCGCCTCCTAACAACCTTAGCATGATGTCTTATCTTAAGCAACCGCCTTACCCAGTCAATGGACTGAGTCTGACCACTTCGGGCATGGACTTGCTGCACCCCTCGGTGGGCTACCCGGGTAAGTGAACCCCCGCCACACGCCTGCCCCCCCTTCCGCACACCCGCCCCGCGGGGACGTGACACCCTTCATCACCCCCGGGAGCGCCGGGCTGGTGGTGATGCTGCCCTCGCTCCAGGCGAAATCCCAACTGGGCGTTCCTTCGGGAAGCAGCTGGGAGCCACTGGGCCGGGGCTGGCGGAGGAGAGGGGACCGGGGCAGGGGGCCGGGCGGGGAGGAGCGAGTACACAAAATCACATCGCTGGTCCTTTGGGTGAATAGGGGACACACAGTGGAGTGGGGCGAGGACGGTTTCTACCCTTGTCATTTGGGGGCGGCAGGCCCTGTCCCTCGGAAGGACCCCCTGCCTCTCCCACCCGCTCCCGCCGCCGCACCTGGGCTTCCCCCCGGCCGGC